GATTAAGGCATGCCCAGATAGCTGGTAAAGCATTAGTTATTCTCAAGGCTTCAGGAGGTGCTGAGCTCGTCCTCTTCACGCCGAAGGGGAAACGTGGGTGGCTTGGCATTTGATTAGAAAGACTGTGCTGCCCCAGGTGTGTCGGGGAGGGTGTTTGTGGGGGAGACGGCTGGCATGAGTCCTCGGACTGAGAGGGTAAGATCCACCCTCAACAAGGGTGGGCACCGCCCAATCAGCTGGGTGCCTGGATGGAACAAAAAGGCAGGGAAAGGTGAATTCCTGCTCTTCAGGAGCAGGGACTCCCCCTGTGCCTGGACAGCTCCAGGTTCTCCAGGTTGTGGGCTCTGGGACTGTCACCAGCAGCCCCCAGGTTCCCAGGCCCTCTGCCTCGAACTCAGAGGAAACCGTGGGCTTCCCCAGCTCTGAGGCCTTCGGACTTGGACTGAACCACACTGCCGGCGTCCCTGGCCCTCCAGCTTGCAGGTGGCCTGCGTGGGCCTTCTCAGCACCGGTAACCGAGCGGCCAGTTCCTCAACCCCTTCTCATCTCTATGTATTAATGTATTCTACTGGTTCCGTCTCTCTGGAGAACTCTGACTAAAGCACCAGGGAATTGCGCTGGGCTACCTTGCCTTCATCTCAGCTTCCTTAAAGTGTCCACCGAGCCAATGAGAAGTGCTAGAACAGTGGGCGAACTCTGCTGGGACAGCTGGCTTTTAAGAGGTCCCTCTGCCTCCCAGGCATCTCAGGCCACCGCTGTCTGGTCTCCATCTACTAAGCATCAGCTCAGCGCTCACTCCTTCAGTTTCCCAACTCTGCTTCCAGAGTCCAGCCATGCTGGTTGGGGTTTTCACACCAATCCCATTTTGATAATAGCTGCATTTCAAGACTCTAAGAATCGATGGGAAGAGATCCATCCAAACACCCACAAGATTCCATTTTCTGATTCTGTTAGTTAAGACAAACTTTTATCAAAAGGTGATCACGCAGGGCAGCAGCAGGCCGGCTCACCTCAGAGGAGCCGCCCGGGAGTGCACGCCAGAGCTCCTGCAGCCCACAGGCGGGCTTTGCATTAGATGCAGACAGCTTGGTTCTTGTCTTGCCACTTCCCTTTCCAAACTGAGGGCCCACGCTGCCGTTCCAAAAGAACATTTACTGCCCAAGAAATCCTCTCTCTGCTTCTGATTTCGTGAGTTCTGGGAAGCTCATTCTCCACATCTAGATAGTAGGTATCTGTTCATTTCGTCACAGCACTTTAACTGCGTATTTGCTTATTTACATGCTTATTGTTTAACCCTCCTAAGATTGTGGTTGCCTACAATCGTGTTTCTCCCCATCACTGGATAACCAGTGTCTTATATACTGCCGAGCACGAGGTTTAACAAATATTCCCTCGAATGAAAGAGCCATGTTCCAGGGATTCTAAATGGCGTGGTGCAGCTGCAGCTTGAGGTGGCCCCTGAGGAGGAAAGGCAGGTAAGAGCCAGAAGATGGAACGGTGCACACAGCACGCCGAAGCTGTGGGCCTGCAAACGAAGGCAAAGTTGACTGAAACGCCGTTAGAGAATTTTAAGGGAGGTAACAGAGCTGTGCACAGGGGACTGGCACGGACAGGTGCACACTCAGGCAGGAAGACTGCTGCTGTGACCCACACACACAGGAAGTGAAACCGCTGCAGCGGCAGTGGAAGTGACAGTGTGCAGAATTAACAGGACCTTACGACCAAACGGGACGTGGAGCCCAAGTGGAGGAACTGAGGGTCGACTCCAGGCTGGCAGGGGTTGCTACCGAGTAAGCTGGAATACGGCAGGAAGATGCGGTGCAATGAGGGGCCCAGGGCAAGGAATTTATGCAATGACCATCTAAGGGAACTGGACTGTGGTTTATGACCCTGAAGTGAGATCTGGCCTGGAGTCGAAGAAGTTGCATGTAATCAGCTGAGTATTAAAGATTTGTGCAAAGATGAGATCATCCAAGGTTAAGTGTGTTAAAATCAAAGGAAGGCCCAAAGATGGAGTCCTTGGAAACGCCAATATTCAAGAGTCAGGCAGAAGAACTGACATGAAGAAAACCCAGAGAAAGGTCTTATAGAGTTGAAGGAGAAAGCTTCAAAGACAGAGTTCTCAACATTGCAGCCAAGAAGTCATATAAGGTAGGAATTGAAGAGCGTTAGCTTTATTTGGCTACAGTACCAGCTAAAATGACCTTTCTGGGTCAATTTGGGAGTGGTAAAGAAAAGTCAGGTAACGGTGGGGTAAAGAGCACAGGGAAAGGGAGGAAACGGAGGTAGCCGGGAGTGTACAATGCTTTCCAGCAGCTCTGTTGACACATGGAAAGATTATCTTCCTGTGCTGCTTTGTATTAAACAGTATGATAAACTGTTCATGTACCCTTTAGGAAAGATCTAGCAGGAATTAATAAAGTTTACTTACTCCCAGAATAGACGCAGAGAATCTAGCATAGAAGGCAAAAAGGAACATTAAGTCATTTAAATTTTTAAAAGATGAAACAGCTATATTTATGAATGGTATAAGAATTTCACAGTTGGCAAAACAAAAAAATTATGAGTTGTTATACCCTTAAAATGCTGCTCATGATGCAGAGGCTCGAGTGTCTCTGGACAACAAGAATATCTCCAATAACCTGATAACAAGTGGATACACGGCCCAAACCATCACTTGACTGGGAAACGAGATGGCAAATACACCGAAAGCCTCACTCGGGAAGGAACTTTTGGCTTTCTCGTAACAGAAAATATTTGAGGAAAGCATACCATCCAACACGGAAGTAACACTGTGATTTTTAAAAACTGCACTGCTGTATTTATTTGAAATTAATTTTGACTTTAAGGCAATACCACTACCTATATTAATATTTTTCCAAGTAAGAAAAGGAACTTTATAACTGTTCTATTGTTGCTTTCACCTAACCAATACTATTAGGATAGAAAGACTATAGAGGGGTGACTAAAAAACCCTAAAAAGCAAGTGGCCAACATTTTGAACCAATTACAATTTAAATATCAATTGTTAGTTATAGAAATTTGAGAGTAAACCCATAGGAAAATATCCATTTGAAGTAGGGCTGTCCTAAGATAATGCACACAAACCAACAGTCTATTTAATAAAAATATTTAATGCTGCCAAAAAGTATAAAAATACAGTAGGAATGGCAGTACAATACAAAGTAATCTCTCCTAATTTATTTCTTATACATCTTTCTACATTTCATACATGTATTAAAAAACACGTAACAATACATCAAATTAAAGGTTCTGCAAAGTCTTCTGCTGGTGGGTGCTCTTCATCCCCTGGATGTAAAGTTTACTTTGTAAACACACAACTGTGAGGCAATCTACAGGGTTAGCAAGCCTCACTTCAGTTTCCGGAGTGGGCTTCAGGTCTTGCTTTGCACATCAATGGTTCAAAATTTATAGCTGCAGAATATTCTCAAGTCATGAATATTTAGGTGTCTGTCAATCTTGGCCTAAAACATAAAATAAGAAGTCATCTATTCAATTCATATTTACCAAACACACAGACATACACAGATACACACAAACATAAAAGGACTAACAATGAACTAAAAAGGCAACCAAAAATCATTCCAACATATGACATCCAGCCACGCTAAGTGCTTCACTGCTATCTTGGTAAGACTGCCCAAGTGCTCGATTTTCAAACAGAATTGGTGGTAGGAGGTAGACGCGTGTTAAAGCACTGTGACTCTTATTCTTCAAGAATTACTATGAATTGTTTAGGTCATCCTGTTTTACTCAAGAAATGACCTCTATGTGAGGTACTGACAGACAGACAGGTTAAAAAGAAATGTGCCCGTGAGGATTTACGAAGACTAGATGGCGTGTGCTAAGCTTACCAACGCTTTGGAATTCAGTGCAAAAGTATAATGCCATTTGGACCTCCACTGTTTAACACTGATAAAAATATTATCAATGTAAAGTCTGAACACAAGGCTGGTTTATATTTTTAAATCACAGACTGTCAGACAGTTTGTCTTGAAGGATAACACGAATGACTACAGCTGCAGAACTGAAACAGCATGACGCTCAAGTTGCTTACTATCAACATAAAAGAAAACGAGGACATACAATAATTGACAGCTTTATTGTGTTTTAATGCCAGAAAGGAGAAATGAATGAGAGGTGGAATAAGCAACGGACGGACGGAATGGCTGCCGTGAGGGCGGCTGAGCTCTGGACGTTGCTGCACAGCATTTGCGAATAACTGAACTCTGGGGAGGCCGACGGCATTTCCATCCTCCCCCCAGCTCCCCTCGCCGCCACAGGAGAAGCCCAAATCTAAGTATTTGTCAGCATTTTCTGTCCACATATAAAAATAGGAAATATAAACCACATTCACACATTTAGTCCAAACCCCCCAACACTGAGAATTGGCTTCTTCCTGCCTACTGGCTCCCTCCGCTAGAGGAGGCACCTTGGACCAAGCACCTTGGCGTTCTGAAGTCCTTTCTTCTCCGATTTTCCAGCGCTTACGGAGAAATGCCAAGTCATCAAGAAACATTCACATCAGATGTCTGTGACTCAGAAAACAACTACGGAAGCTTATTGCAGGGATCTTCAGAACCCTGAACCGAAGGTGATAAAGTAAGGAAAGGTACTTTTTATAGATTCTGACTGCTGCAAAATACAGATTTATCTTCCAAGCATTCAGAGGTCTGTTCTTTAAAACAAAGAAACAATTCAAAGTCAATGAAATAATGATTAGGTTTAGAGAATATTCTGATGTTCCAGTCCAAACTGTTGCACAAAGTTTTTTTTTTTTTTTGCTCTATTTAGAAAACTAAAGAGGACTACTGCAGCTTCCAACTCCTGGGCTCAAGTGACCCTCCAGCCCCACCCTCCTGAATAGCTGGGACTACAGGCGCCATCACGCTTGTCTAACTTTTTCATTTTTGTAGAGACAGGGTCTATGTTGCCCTGGCTGGTCTCGAACTCCTGGCATTAAGCGATCCTCCCGTCTAGGCCTCCCGAGGTGCTGGGATTGTAAGCATCAGCCTACTCTGGATTTTATTTATTATTTCTACGTTGGTTGTCTGTTTTCCCACCTACATATTTGGTGTAAATACTCCATAAAAACAGAATCAGTGTGACATAATGGAAAAGTATGAGTTATTGGAGTTCTACAGATTAGAGTTTGAATCTCAGCTGTCACGTACTAACTAGCTTGCAATTTTGGGCAAGTTACTCTTTGACTCCGTTTTCTCATGTGAAAACAGGGCTAATGCTATCGACACCAGAAGAGGTGTCATGCGGGTTAGATTATGTAGTTAAACTGGTTGGCAGAATTGTGGCTGTTCAACATGTACTGTTGCCCCTGTACTCTGTTAAAGACCTATTTACCAAGAATGAACTATCATTTATATCCACTAAAAAAACAGTGTTTTAAAAAATTCACTCATTGTTCCTTTGTAAGTATAATTTGGCGGGGGGGGAAGGCCGGGAGGGGAGAAAATAAGATTAAATCATTGGTTAGTTGTTTTAAAAGACTATTTTTGGCCAGGTGCAGGGGCTCACACCTATAATACTAATAGCATAAGCTGAAGAGTTCAAAGCTGCCAGGGGCTGTGATGACACCACTGCACTCAAGCCTGGGCAACAGAGCAAGACCCTCTCTCTATTTAAAAAAAAAAAAAAAGACTTTTATTTGCAAGATTAAAAAGACAAATGGGCTTCATTTTAGAAAATGCTAATATATCCACTCGAATCGATTTTTGCTATTTTTATTTAATAAGGCAAAACAGTAAAATGGGTCCAAAGAAATCAAATGTAATGAACTGGGTACTTCCTTTGCAGAAGGTGGCCCTCGCAGAGTGCCGCATGCTGGCACGGTGCACAGGCCGGGTACAGGGCAGGGCATGCTCTTCCCAAGTGAGCCCCATGCCTGAGGTGATACAAAGTCAAACTGCACCAAAAGTAGTTTTTGCCACCAGGTATGCACACTGAGATTCTACTGAAATGGATCAAGGGTCACCACAGACTTTTCCATGGTAAGCACAGCTCTGCCTTCAAGATGATTTACCTACGTTCCTTCTCCTGAATTCACTACACTCAAAGTAGAGTTTTAATAGCAGTAATTTGAAATATCAACAGTATCTGAAAAATATATGCCAAATTAGAGCAACAATAAATAATTTGATGCTTCTTACAAAAATGGTGTCTAGAAAGAAAAAAGAAATTCCCATGCAATTCTCCTTGTAGCTCCTCACAACGTACTATATAAGGTAAGAGCAGACAGTATCAGACTCTGTAAGTAATATCCTCACTAAATCGTATAATCCCTATATTCTACTCTAAATTAAAAAAACAAAAATGGAAACAGTTCAAAAGGTTTAACTTTCTTTCTCTCAAGAGATTGCTCAGAAATGGTCGGGGCTCTTTCACATGTTCTCATTGTTAGGATGTTACTCGTAAAATGTCAGCCTCTCAGACCGGTCACTGCTCACACTCGGCAACGGCTCTGTGCCGGGGTGAACAGCGTGCAAGACGAGACAAGGATCAGCAATGACAGTGAAGAAAAATGCTCCCCAAGGGACAATGAGTCTTTCCAGAATCCAGCAGCCACGGGAGAGAACCGTGTCTCAGAAGAGTGTTGAGAGAGAGAAAGCGCCTGTGCAGAACTGCTCCATGCTGTTACTGGAGCAATCCGAATGTCCTTAATATTCAGAAAACTCCTGCTGCTGAGGGAAAGATAAGAGAATCAAACTCGTACCATTTTCCTAGAAGTTTTTACTTTAAGAACATTACCCAAAGAAGAGAGAAAAAAGGTAAATTCCTGAATCTGGATGAACAGCAAATGGCTGTACTAGGCCAGGCACACACAATACAGCCAATAAGTGCATAGTATTTAAACCAGAGATTCCTTGGTGGGGCAGGGATTGAGGAGTTTACACAACCTGAGTTTCTTTCCACCAAGGCATGTTACCATTTATACGTATATTCAATGGAACAAAAATAGCTGAAATTTCCAGTATATACATTGTTGTAGGGGCTCTTGGTGATGTTGCCCCATAAACACTGCTTTGAAGGTAGGTATAAGGAAAAATGGAATCAAATCCAAACAAACTGGAAAAAAGGCTAAATGAAATAGGTCAATTCCAGAGTAAATCATCCAGGCAATAACCAAGATTTTTAACTCATGAGAAGACAATTCTACTACATGGAAGAATATTATATTTCTATTTTTCAAAATCTTATTTATAAGATTCTATGCCCCTATCATCCTAATAAGTCAAAGCCACACAAGGGCTTCCTAAGAGCAAAAGACTTTATTAGCTGTTGATGTATAAATGAGAATGCAGGACGGGCATTTCTGTTACGCACTTGGTTCCAAACTGTGGATATTTGAGTCAAGTACAGCCAGAGAAAGGATGACCTCAGAAACACCCCCCACCCCTGCCAAGTGTACAACAAACTGCGTACAACTGTGCCCTGGCTACATTCTTGATATTCACTGAGAACCCATGTGCAGACCTACTAGAAGAAAAAATAAACCAATTTTACAGAAGACTTGAACTCTTGCCTGAACGTGGAAAGAAATGGACTGCATACCTAATGACATTTGGCTTATAACAGACTACATTTAAAAAAAAAATCTCTTAAAAGATTTGTATCTGAAAAGTAAAAATGAAGGCAGACTAGATTTTTAAATCTCTACAACCAGTAGGCAGGCAGTTTGGAAATGTAGTACTCACTATGGAATACAGTGGTCAATAAAAACACGTTTAATACCATCAGGTTCTGGGCTGTGACTAGATATAGAATCTGGTCAGTGCTATTTTTCTAAGTGGGAAATGAATTGCAGTCTTTCTTTGAGAATTACCTAATTCTAAAATATGGTGTTTATCTCAGACTGTTCAATGATAGCACCATAAAAGGATGTAGAGGCCAGGCGTGCTGGCTCATGCCTGTAATCGTAGCACTCTGGGAGGCCGAGGCGGGAGGATTGTTTGAGCTCAGGAGTTCGAGACCAGCCTGAGCAAGAGCGAGACCCCGTCTCTATTAAAAATAGAAAGAAATTAGCCAAACAACTAAAAATACAAAAAAATTGGCCAGGCATGGTGGCGCGTGCCTGTAGTCCCAGCTACCTGGGAGACTGAGGCAGGAGGATCGCTTGAGCCCAGGAGTTTGAGGTTGCTGTGAGCTAGGCTGATGCCATGGCACTTTAGCCTGGGCAAGAGAGTGAGACTCTGTCTCAATCAATCAATCAATCAAAAGGATGTAGAAATGCCATGTCTCAGGCTGATTATGGCTGAACAGTTAACACCACCTACCTCGTATGCTTGTGGTGAGGTTTAAACAGATAGTATCTAAAACGTGCTTGGCACAGTGCCTGGCACATAGTAAATGATCAGTAATTGGTAGCCATCGTCACTCTGAATTGATGTTGAAAGCAAAGAAGGAACTGATATAAAAAGTGGAAGACTGTTCCGTGTCAAAAACTACTTTTTAAACCAATACATAGTGTTTGATTGATATCATTAATTCTAGTTTAAGACAAAGGGGACAAGCACAAGAGCATATAAAATTAGAGTTACAACCTCTGACATACCTGTTGAGCAGAGCTAATTTAAAAGAAAATGATTAACAACTTTTTTTAAACTTCCTTTCTCTTTTCTTGTTCATTCCTAGGTAGAAATATTAAAACATAGTGAAATCGACCAAAAAGATAGAAGAGAAAAAGGACCGAGAGGTAGAAAACCTGGCAAATATATAATATTTCCTCTGAACATGAGAAATGGTCTTTATATTGTTCTAAAGTCCTCTATACACTTATTATATATTACTTTAAAATCTTTAAGAGTGCAGAAAATGGGTCCGATTTTCATTTTTTATATGGAGAAATTAAACACGGAGAATTATATTTTTACATTTTATATATGTGCAAGTATAGATAAAAATCACTAGTAGGCTAACAGAAAGTAATACTTGGCTGAACTTGGAAAGGAGCACATAACCAGTTGGTGGAGTGAGAAAATATGCATTAAACTGAAGGTTACTGTCAATTTATTAGCAGGCATAGACATGAATGGAAATGAATTAGATTCTTTTCTGAAAATAATAAAACCAGTTTTTAAAAAAATCTTTTATGTTCCTTAACCTGTTCATAAAGCAACATTCACTCATTGAAGTCAAACTACACATCTGACTTTTAAAATGTGTTAAAATCAGAAAATATTATATAACATGCTGCCATGTATTTTCAGTAATTAGTACACGGCACCCATCGAAATTATTATTGCTGGTAAAAACTGAATACCATTTACAGTTTCCACTGTCAACACCATTCTCAAGGATCTGCTTGGAGAAGGGAAGATGACTAACCTTGGAAGAAGTACGCTGACACGTTCACTACACTGAATGTGATTTTAAAAATACATCACACCAAACACCACCCAGAAGCACAAAAAACAGACAAAAAGCAAAGCTGAAATGCCAAATCCAATGAAGCACATTCACCTAGCAAAGGGGTGAGGTACGTTCTTATCACATGTTTCCTTAGGTCTTTACTTTTTGTTTAAAGCAAGCCTATCTTCAATTGGAAGTTTAATAAGTCCTACCCATATCTGACTTGCAGAGGAACATGTTGTCTTTTAGCAAAGGTAAACCAACGCAAACTGGGAAGAAAGACTTTAAGCCAATAATGGCCTAAAATGTAAGGGTCTTGATGTCTCAACACAGATTTAATGCAGACAGACATAGGAAACGCCCCTCTTACCTCCTCTCCATTTCAAGGTTACAGGACACAGTAATACTGAACTAGGACACAGGCACACGTTATATAAATCTTATTTAATATGTTGTACCACCTACATCCTGCTTTCACACTTGCAGCATAATTTAACACGTTCAAGAAGGCTACTCAAATCAATTAGAAGTATATATCTATACCAATGGTTTTCAAACTGTTTTTAAATTATAATTGCCCCCTTTAAAATAATTAAGCCCTATGCAGAAACCTTATGTGGTATATAAAAAGAGACAGAGCCGAGATGCTGTGGTTGGAAGTAACCTCTTGGCGACTCTTCTGGAAATCCAATGAGCATAGTTTGAAAACCACTGAAATAATGTTTACTATCTATGCCTCCTAGCAATTAAATTTATAACGGCTATTTCAAGTAAAATGAGTTACACATTGAATGGAATGTTGGGATCTGGAGAAAGTTAGTACTCAAATGAGCAGTTAAATTCATTAAACATTATGCTTTGAAAATACTCATTAAAAAGTTAAAATGACAATGTAAGGTGTTTGCGCATCATCATACTATTTATTGAAGTAGAAAGAACTTTGAAAAAAATTTTGCTTCAAAGCTTCAGTCTAGTAAACTGAAACTGTGGATCATAAAATGTTGTTTCTTACTTTTACTTCCTAAATCATGACTTATCCAAATTACAAATTAGGGTAATTTACATTGAAATTTTCATGAAAAGTAAACAATATTAGTAAGGGGCTTTACAAAAACCAATTTCTTTACAAAACCTTGACCAACTGTTACCTGACTAACCCAGTAAGGAGAACTTTCCTTCAAAGATATTTTTAGGAAAAAATTTTTGTTTCTTTATTTTTCTTTTTAAAATGGGAAAAACTGCAAAACAAAAGAAATGCAAATGTATAGTAGAAATTGCTTATTCAAAGTTTTAACTGCTCATATCAAACTTCTCTTCAGAAAAATGGAAAATGTATCCAGTACAATTGAATCAACATACAATTTATTTTTTTATGGTAACAGATTTTTCAAATCGAGCTTTCAAAAAGTACAGTTAACTACAAAATTAAGATTAAATACTTATAAAATATATCTACCCTGAAACGGTTAAGAATATAAAGTGTTGCTGCCCATGACAACAGTACATCATACATTACACACGTTATTTGTCATTTTCTTTCCATTAATAAGGTAGATAAAACCACAATATTTATTGCTTATATCAAGTGCAGGTAGCCTCCCAAAACAAATCCTAGGATATCTCAACGTTGGTCAGGCGAAATACTACTTTTGACATGTATGAATACAGTTGCAAAATGTACCAGTTTTTAACAAACATGAATGCCTTTATTTTGGACGCCGTTTACAGTTTGGGTTTCAGAGGAACCTGCAGGAAGAGTCCTGAGATGCTGGGCTTCTGACTGTGAATACCCCTGATCTGGCTGATGTCTATGCTACTGCACCATTTATGGGATATGAGGCATTTGCTGCGAACAGACATACCCTTATGATTAACGTAGCACTGTCAGCTACTAGTGCAGAAGCTTGCTAAGCAAAATTAATCGTTCATTATAGGACATTTTGCTGAAAAAACAGTGTCCAGCCAACAAAAGCGCCAACCAAAATGACTGACAAAAACCCCATCTTAGTGAGAACAGGCTGCCAGTATAACCACCTTTTTCTTTTTCGTTCAGTCTCATTTAGCCTCTGTTTCATCTGCTGCACCTTCTGAGCCGTGGTAGCTTTTCTGTCCTCTCGAATACGTTTCCGTAGAACACTATGAACAAATAAAGACAAATAAAAGGAAATGCACACCCCAAATGATTTAATTACTCTAACACAGAGAACCAAAATGCAAATAAAACCATATTTTTTAAATCTCATTCAAACAATGGAATAAAAAAGGAGAAAGCCTCAATATTCTAAATGGTTCATAGATGTACTCTGGCAATAATTTCTGGTACAGTTTTATATTAATAAATACTTTTAGTAGGATCTGAAAATAATAATTTGAAAATAAGGT